AACTCTCCAAAGGAATTTTCCACAAGACAAAAGCAACAATAGAAAATGATGACCTTGGGATGGCGCCCGGACGTCAAACAGTTTGACTATTGTATAGAAGTACAGCTGACTTTTGCATAGGAAGCAATCATAGCTGATTAGATATTACCAATTCCTGCCTTAACTCTCCCCTCTCCATTGGTACTAGCTCATTCAATATGGTACTAGCTCATTCACTATCCCTATCAGCCAAAGCACAACCATATTAGACACACTGAGATGAAAGTCTGGCATGCTGAATTTTGTAATTTTATGGTTTCTATATATTGTGAAGATATCAATTGTTTAAATAACTGCCTATTTTATGTCACAGATGGCAAAAAAAATCATAAATCAGGCAGTGCACAATGCCACATTATCTATATATGTTGAATGAACAGTGTTATTTCTGTTTTTTGAACATTTAAGGAACATTCCCCTCCCCCTTGCAATAAAGTGAGCATTCGGATTGGATCTGTGCTTTGCAAAGGAGCTTATATACTATCAGAGCTGCATGGTTTAATTAGCCAAGGAGACATATAATTGCTTAAGTGACTTTTCCACCCATTCGAGAACACTTGGAATTAAAAAGCAGCAAAAGGCTCAGATTTTTTTAAAAAAAAATCTCTTTGAAAGTCCTAGCTCAGTGATGGCGAACCTTTTAGAGACCGAGTGCCCAAACTGCAACCTAGAACCCACTTATGTATCATCAAGTGCCGGGTGGGTGTGGCCCATTGGGTGGGCATGGCTACAGTGGTAATGGCAGACTGGGTGGGACTAAAAAGTTCAATCAATCAATTTCAACTTTGCGAGATCTTTTTTTTTCCAGCAAGAAGTTGAAATTGGTTGATTGATTAAACCTTTTTTTTTTTTTTTTGCACACGGCCGTGGAGGCCTAAAGTGAAAAGGTTTTATAAAACCCAGTTGAAGGTCTAGGACTAGGGCAATAGTGCACATGTCCACAGAGAGGGCTCTGCTTGCCACCTGTGGCAAGTGTGCCATAGGTTCGCCACCACGGTCCTAGCTTGTTGAAGAGTCAGGTAACAATGGGAAAATTTGCCCACTCTGATGGTACCTAACTAGCAACTTACATAGTTAAGCAACAATGGTATATTATCTCAGAACATAAAGAGAAAAAGGGAAAATAAAATAACAACAACAACAAAACAGTTGGATAGTGGATGTGGCAATGCCTGAAGACAGCAGAATAGACAAGAAAGAGCTGGATAAGATAACAAAATACAAAGACCTACAAATAGAAATAGAACTACTGTGTCAAAGGCGAGCAAGGGTAGTACCAATAGTAATAGGTTCCTTGGGTGCAATTCCAAAACAAGTGGAGCACCACTTGGACAGCACTGGCATTGACAAATTTGCCATCAGTCAATTGCAAAAGGCAGTCTTACTAGGAACAGCTTCCATCCTGCGACGATATCTATAATGCCATTAATTCAAACATCCACATCTGCCTATCCTGGGTCTTTGGTAAGGACTCAGTAGGTAGACAAAAATGCTAAATCCAGTCTGAACATCTGGCTGACTGTGCAATGATGATTAGTAATCATAATCATAATAATACAGGTAGTCATCCACTTACAACAATTCAAAGTTACAACGGCACTGAAAAAAGTGACTTATGACAGTTTTTCATACTTATGACAATTGCAGCATCCCAATGGTCATGTGATCAAAATTTGGATGCTTGGCAATTGGTACATATTTATGACGGTTGCAGTATCCCAGGGTCATATGAACACCTTTTGTGACCTGATAAGCAAAGACAAAGGGGAAGCCGAATTCACTTAACAACCTTGTTAATAATTTAACAACTGCAGTGATTCACTTAACCACTGTGACAAGAAAGGTGGTAAAATGATACAAGACTCACTTAACAACTTTCTAGCTTAGCAACAGAAATGTTGGGCTCAACTGTAGTTGTAAGTCAAGGACTACCTTTACAGAAACATTGGCTGGGCTCTTGATCTGGTAAGGGAGAAAGTCACTGTCTCCCGGAGGGCCTCTTATGAAAATCCATGTTTGATTGTGGTACCTCCACGGCATTTATCAGCCATGGCGACTGACAAGATTGGAAGCTTGATCCCATGGGCCACTTTTAGCCTTGGTCTTGCCAGCTGCTGAGTCTTTTACACAATCACCGTGAACGAATCTGGCTCTGGGAAAGCTCTTTGGCTCTGACAAGCATAAAAAAAATCTTTTTCCCAGTAGGAGGATTTCCATGCTATTATACTGCAAGCTTGTCAAGTCTTATTGATTCCTTATAACTTAAATGAATGCCCACTGCAGCGACTTCTGACAGCTTTGTGGTTAACTCCTTTATAATGAGTGTTACAGAAGTAGCCATTAGTTTTTCAGCGACATCACTTTCTCTGGAGTTAGACATGTTTTGAAAGGAAATCCTTCAGTCATTTTGTTTTCTACAGATTATGTCTGCCACCAAACAAACATGATGTATGAGCTAAAGAAGAATGCAAACGTTCTATCATTTGATTTTCAAAATTAATAACCTTGGAATGAAATATAATCAGAGGTAATAATGAATAATGAAGAATGCTAATGTAGCTAACAAATCCTTTCAAATTGGAAGCTCTGTTTCAAAAATGTACAGTCTGTTTAATTTCAAATAAGAAAAGGAAGTAATTCATCAAGACAGAATTGACCCATGATGATTATATGGACATATTATTTAGTTTGTTGGCAACAATACTGAAAATCTCTGTCATTACGTTCTACTGGGCTTTTTTTTTTTTACTTCTTCTCTGGCTACAGAATTTATATTTCCATTTTCTTTGCTCAGAGTACTAAGTTATTGTGTCCTCAGGGAAGGTAAAATAAAAGTCAAGATGATGGTCACAATTGCACAATTGAAGCTTTTTGTGTGTGATGTTTACACATGTAACAAAAGGGAAGATCTTTATGGCTATGGCTGCCATCTTTGTCATTTTGATCTCCACCCTGAGGCTTCTGTTGATTAAACAGTCAGTGGTTCAAAAGTAACATGTCTCTACTTTTCGTTAAAGCATTCTTCTTTTTTTCGGATTCGTGAATGAGATTGAAAAACAAAGAGACTGGAACCCATTCCACCATGCTTAATTTTATTTATTTGTTTGTTTGTTTGTTTTGAAAACCATCAAGATAAGCTAGATGTTGAGCAAGATGAACATAGGCTCAGATTTCTTGGTATTGCCAAAAGAAGGTATATTAAAAAAAAAAATTAAAGCAGAAATGCCAATGTCAAAGGCACCTATTACTATTGGTACTACTCTTGCTTGCTTTTGCCACAGTCTTTCTATTTCTATTTGTAGGTTTTTGTATTTTGTTATCTTCTCCAGTTCTTTCTCATCTATTCTGCTGTCTCCAGGCACTGCCATGTCCACTATCCAGACTTTTTTGTCTTTCTTATCGACAATTGTTAAGTTCAGGGTGTTATGTTGCAGGTGCTTGTCTGTTTGAATTCTGAAGTCCCAGAGCAGTTTAATTTTATCATTTTCCATGACTTTCTCTATTTTATGATCCCACCAGTTCTTGCTTACAGGCAAATGATAATTCTTGCAGATCTTCCAGTGCACCATTATTGCTACTTTGTCATGCCGCTGCTTGTAGTCAGTCCGGGCGATCTTCTTGCAGCAGCTTACCAGGTGGTCCACTGTTTCTTCAGCTTCTTGGTCCACTGTTTCTTCAGCTTCTTTGCCTAGGTGGCACTTACTGTCTGTTGCTGTCTTCTCAATTTTGACTTTATATGCATTTGTCCTTAAGGCTTGGTCTTGTGCAGCCAGAATTAGTCCCTCAGTCTCTTTCTTCAATTTGCCAGGTCTTTTTATTATCTACTTTCCCAGCTATTTTTTTAATGTACTGGCCACGTAGTGCTTTGTCTTCCCATGCCTCTATTCTGTTCTTCATTTGGTCTTTCTTGTAGGCCAGATTGGTCTCTCCAGTAGTCAGTAAGCCTTCCTGACATACTAATTTCAGTGCATCTTCATCACTGTCCTTCAGATATTCTTCCAAATCCATTTCTTCTTCTTCAGCCATCTGGTGTACTTGCAGCATTCCACGCTCACCTATTTGCCTTTGTAGATAAAGTCTGTCAATGTTACTGCGTGGATGAAGGGCATGATTCATTGTCATTATTTTTCTGGTCTTCCTATCTATTGCTTTTAGTTCTGCTTGAGTCCAATCTACTATTCCAGCTATGTATCTACTGACTGGAATTGCCCAGGTGTTGACTGCCTTTATGTATTTCCTCCATTGAGTTTGAACTTTAAGATCTTCTTCACTCTCTTGATGTATTCACCTCTAATCTTTTTCTTGACTTCAGTGTGCTTGATGTTGTCAGCTTGAAGGATACCCAAGTATTTGTAGTAATCTTTCTCATCCAGACTCTTAATGTTATTTTCATGGGGCATCTTGATTCCTTCAGTTTTCACTATTTTTCTTTGTTTGATAGTAAGTGTGGCACACTTGTCCAAGCAAAACTCCATTGCAATATCTTGGCTATATATATGGACTGTGTTGAGCAGCGATTCTATTTCAGATGATGTTTTTCCATACTGCTTCAGATCATCCATGTAAAATATTATTATTATTATTGTTGTTGTTGTTGTTATTGTTACAAATGCTCCTGAAAACTAGTAGTTCCTTCCTATATAGCTTGGTGGATGTCAAAAAGCCACTACAAAAGCTGATATATAAATATTGCAATACCAATCTTGTCACATAATGTAAGTTCATTTAATAATGAGGCCAATACAAAGTGCATTTTCCCATTTTCTAGTCAATAATAGTCTAAATTAGCATCCTTCCATAGTCCAAGAAAGATCCATTATTTACCCACTTATTAGCTATCCCATTTCCCCCAGTGTTGTGCTGCAATACTGTGCTTGAACAGAAAAACCTGCAATATTGGAAACTAATAAGAACAAATATAATAGTAATCAAGAGTAAACTCAATAACAAGAAAATGTTACCTTTATTTCACTCATGGTCTTCTTGGGGAAAGCCTAAAAATAATCAATAGAAACCAGAATGATTAAAAAAAGATCTGGAAAGGAATCATTATAAGTTGCTGATAGAGAGAGAGATAACTTAATTTGGTGCTATTAAAAAAAACCCAGCATTTTTTAAATGAATCATACTCAAAGCAAGTATTTTAACAATGTTGTATTTCCAAGCACTATAGAGATAAATTAAATAAATAATACAGAGATGAATTAAATAAAGAAGAGTCCATTTTATAAAGCAGAATTGTTTACATGTATTTGAAAAGTGCAGGAAAAGCCTCAAATGAAAGTCTTTCTATTATTGTTCCTCATTGTGCTTATTGCATCCAATATATAATTAAAATTATACTTAATTTTCCTTTTGTTCTATATCAACAAGCTTGCAATGTTTGTGAAAAGAGATAAATTTTACTTTTCTCCTTATTGCTATAATGAGGACACATTTAGCCATTTTAGTGCTCTTCATATAGCAAAATGTTGCTTTCTTCTTTTTTTCCTCTGCCACACAAAGCACTCAATCCATTATGACTCTACTAACTGCTTAGAGTCACTGGGAGTTAGGCAGCCCACTATCCAATGGTGGGATTCAAATAATTTAACAACTGGTTCTTTGCAGGGGGGGAGGCAGAGGGGCAGGTGGGGGCGCTGCCATGAGGCAGATGGGGGAGAAGGGAGCTGCCCCATGCACCCCGCAACCGCCCTGTCGAGGGCCCCTGTCGCCAGGCCTACCACACCCTGACATCCATCGCACCTCACCTGTTCAGTAGTGACTTTTCCCACTTTCTCCTTCTTGCTTTCTTTGAACAGTTCTTTGCTCCCATTGCTGCTTTTTCAGTCCCAGAGTTTTGTCCAGAGCCTGTGTAGAGAGTGTTTGGAAACTAAGCCCCGCAGCGATTGGGTGGGGTGGGAACCATTCCCTCTGCTTTTGGACTGGCTCCGAAATGGGCTGGAAGTTGCAGCCCAGTCTGGCTTTGCAACAAGCAAGGGGATTGGAGGCATGTGAACGCACGCTAGTTTGACATCTCAAAAAAACAGGTTTTTTCCCACTGCTCCTGGATTTTCGCTGCCAGACTGTTTAACTTTCTTTAAAATTTACTTGATGCAGAAAGCGGATCCTTCCTATTCTACATCAAGTAAACTTTTAAAGAAAGTTAAACAGTCTGGCAGGGAAAATCGAGGACTGGGGAAAAAACCCTGTTTTTTTTAGATGCCAGTCTAGCGTGGCCAGATTGCAGCAAGCAAAGGATTAGAAGCACGTGAATGCATGCTAGTCTGGCTATTTCAGAGCCAGTTCCCCAAACTCAAGAAAAAAATTAGGTATCAGTTCTGCCAAACCGGTGCGAACTGGCTGAATCTCACTACTGCTGCTATCCTTTCAGCTTTGCTTACCCTTTGGTAAGATCCCTGTGCTTGGGGTTTTGAATTACTTCTTTCTTTTTGGAGAAGAACAAAGAATCTTGTTGCAGGTTTCCACATGGCTATCTGTTTTATTTCAACCCCCACTGGAGCCCCCTCAAACGTCATCTGTAGTATAATTGTGGTGGCATAATAACTGACAATCAGTGGCATGGTTTCTTGACATTTTGAGATAGGAAAGAAGCCCAAAATCTGTAGCAAAAGCCCTGAACTTGATTTTATCATTTAAAGAACAAAAATCCCCTATACTCAATAATATTCAGACTTCCAAACAAAACAACCATAACTAGAATGTGCAGTGAAATCCTTGCTGGAAAAGCTATATTTGACCATGATCATCCTGTTTTTTTTGTATCACTAATGAACAGGCACATGGTTAAAAGCTTCTTCCTATCAATGCCAGTCCCCATGAGTTCTTCAATTCTCTCATTCCAAGTGAGGAGCCATCCATTTGACAGATTGCCTTAGACCAAAATATATTGCCTGGTCTTACTCCATGACTAGGTCCAAAGGGACTCTGATCATCTAACTAGATCATTGGAACAACTACCATATTTTAGCAGTCACTCAAGGGGCAGGGGCAATAGCTTCTGTTTTCAGGCCTGTTCTTCCCTGTGAAACTCTGCCCAGTATCAACAATCAATACTACCACCTGCAATTTACTTTCCCAGTACCAAACCCATATTCATAGTCTGAAAGACAGTTAAATCCAAAGCTTCTGTGAATTGTATCTGTTATGGGGGGGCTCCAGTTCTCCAGTGAAGCTTCTTATCCAAAACACCAACTCTCCAGAGACCTCTACTTCATGTTACCTCATCCCTTTTCCAGATAGTTCAGCCAATAATAGAGACTGCTATCTGTTGCTGCTGCCGTTATGTTATTTAAATTTGTACATTGCCTGACTCACAGCAATTCTCAGTGGCTGGTATCAATGTCGCTCTGACATTGTAACTCTACCAAGGAGCCCCTGCTATCATGCCAAACAAAGTTACAGTACTGGTAAGACCAGACCATTCTGTTCTGCCATGCTAATAAGCTACACTAGTTACTTTCATCGAGTCCTTTTCCATGGTTTCCTCTCCTAGCCTCTACTTTTCATATTAATTCCAGCTCTGGAACTTCCTGATCTGGCTCTGTCCAAACTGATGCACCAAAAACGTTTGACACCACTCCAACACATCATCATCCATCCATCATCCACTACTTTAAATCAACATCCTAAACCATTCCACCAAGAGACCCTCTGAGAAAGCCACTACAGCCAGAGTCCATCATCAGGGGGAATAACAACAACTTCTGATAAAAAATAAGATTAATGGTTTAAAAAAGCATCAAAACGCTTATAGTAAAACACAGAATAAACCCATGCCAGTGTGCTGTTTTAATTATCAGATTCTGCTTTGTGCTCATGAAATCCTACTCTCTACAATGACAGCGTAATTTTATGTTGCTACATGTTTCATTTACTGTATGAAAAGCAGTCAACTTAATTCGGATGGAGAATTATGAAGATTTACCCTGGAGAAGTAGTAATAGCCAAAAGTTGGAAGGATTTGTTTTGAAAGAGGATCATTTTCTATTCAAGTACAAAAAGTACATGAACACTCCTAATATCCTTTGCACCTGATCTCCCTTGCTTGAACTCATACAGTACTGATTTAATGATTTAATCCTAGGCTAAGTAAATACCAATATAGTTAGGTAAGCAATAGGGTAGAAATTTCATCTTATTTCTGTGTTTTAATTCCTATCAAGAAGAATGATTTGCTGTTGGGACAGAACCTCCATGTTCTATCACAATATATTTCTGATATGAAACTAATGCTAAGCAAAAGAAGGTAGATATTCCTATCATTGATCTACCCAAGAGTCTACAAGTCCACATAGGGAGTATTAGCTTGGGACATTTGGAAAAAATGAGCTTTCTCTGTGGAACTTCAGTCTTTGAACAATGAAGGCCTTACTTCCTCTCTTTGAAACTTCTATTTGAAGCATATTCATATTAGTCCATCAGCTGATAAGCCTTCTAGAGTTCAGGTGTGATGAGATGTTGTGGCTAGTGGCTACTTTTATGGAAGCTTTGTAACCATCTATAGTAGGGCTTTTCAACCTTTTCACCCATTGTACCACTTTTTGGATATGGCAGTATCTGAGTACCACCAGTCACCTAGCAAGATGTCAAAAACTTGATGACCCCCCCCCAAAAGGAAAAAAGTGATAAAGTACAGGGAATCCTCGACTTACAACAGTTCGCTTAGTGACTGTTTGAAGTTACAATGGCACTGAAAAAAGTGCCCCCCAAGGCACAGCTGAGCAAGACACCTACCTGCCCACCCAGCGGCACTCTCATTCCCCTCCCCCACTAGCACTTTTCTAGGATGGTCGTGTACCACCTGGCAGCTGCCAATGTACCACATGTGGTACCCGTACCACTGGTTGAAAAGCCCTGATCTATAGAACTCTTCTCTGCATTCTGGATTAAAGTTTCCATCATGGTAGCTGGGAAATATGGGCACTGAAGACCTCAACATCAGGAAGGTAGCAGCTTGGTGAAGGTACTCCTCAAAGGATGAGTTTTTTTAAGGATCCTGGATCTCCAGGTGTTTCCTCAAGGCAATATTTAACAAGAAGCTCCTTAAAATTCCCCGTAATATAATTTGGAATGTCATGTCACATTTCTAACTCAGATTATATGTCACCTAATGTGCTTATTTTAACATACTTTTATACTATATCATCTCAAAATGGTTTATCAAAATAAACTGTAAAAACCATGAGTAATGTTCATATTGTTTTAATGTATAGTTTTAATACTGATATTTAAAAGTATAGGAGGTGGGTAGGGAGGAAAATTATGGAGAAATTATCTGGCATTCGTTTAGGGAGAATCTGAGTGAAGAGAGAAATCGTCTGTAGTAATATCTGTATCATGAATACCAGGAGTGAGAACATTCCAGGTTTTAGGAGCCACCAGAAAGAACTCCTTCCATGAAGCAGAAAAAAAAACCTTTGGAGTTCATGCAAACATAAAAGTCTTTCCTTCTTACTCAGAAGAGACCATGAAAGTCTCTCAGATCTGCTGAGAATATGCTGAAGCCCAACTGCTGTAGTCTACAGGTCATATACATATAGAATTTTACCTCAGTAATATTCATAATAAGCATAGAATCTGGACAGGGCAAAACATTGGCTACTTTTTTTTTTAAAAAAAGATTGAATGTTATTGTAAGTTTGGCCTACACTAAACAATATTCAAATGCTCATCATTTATTCATCAAAAATAAAGAAAACAGTATTCTCCTAATTTTCAAGCTAGAAAAGTGTTATGTAAGATTGGCTGAAAATCTACAGATTTCTGACCACTAAAATTGTTTCACTTGTTTAAAAATTCTCTCAAGAATAAAGCCTCTAATGCTCAAGAATTATCTAGTCTAGGTAAGCAGCAACATTATTATACTGTTTTCATAGGGTATGTGTTTGTGTGTTGGTCTTTTGAGATTGCGGGGATAGTTTATTTCCCTTTATATCTCTACAATATTTGCTTGGTCTACAAGTATCAGAAAGGAAAATAAATAGAAGCAAACTGGAGGGATTGGTACAAGGGTTTGTCAACACTGGGTGCTTGCAAACGTCTACTGCAGGCATGTCAAACTGCTGGCCTACGTGCCAGATGTGTCATGGCAAAACTGAGCCCACCCCATTGCCAGCAATGGGGAAAAAGTCCTGATATGCCACATGATGTCATGAGTTTGACACACCTGGTCTATTGTCTGGGTGACAATTCTTGATACCCTCCCTCTTTTAAGCATCTCAAGCAGGAGATTTTCTAAAGCCTTCTGGGCTACCATTGACTTGTATGGATATAAATTAATTAAATGTAATGAATATGTATGTTATCACAGATTCTTCATGTAGGAACACTTGTAATAGCTGCCACATTATGTGAGGAGAAAGGTAACAGTCTGATTCTTGGCTCAGTTCAATTCCCCATTTCTGTTAAATGAAATTAATTTAAACTGTACCCATTTCTAGAGTAGAGTATGGTAGGGTAGGGTAAAGTAGAACAGAACAGATTGGAACAGAACGGAACGGAATGAAATAGAATATTTTGCCAAATGTGATTAGATACATTCTTTCACACATTTGTCTATTCCCTGTATAAAACTTGTTGATTGTAGCTGTCACTTACATTTCTGGAGAAACATATTACACAGTGCATTTTAATCAGGTGCTTTATTTTTCATCTTATAGCAACTCACCAAAACCAAAAGAGCAATAGCAAGAGTGTGACATACTTTTAACTCTGAGCCTTACCAATTCTCATTTGCTCTTGCCAATTAAAAAATGGCCCCATCAAGTTAATTAGCTCAGCTGATTAATCTTCTCACTAAACTGACTGAAGCTTGAACCTCTCCGAGTTTTAAATATCCTTCAGTCTCATAATATGGTCTAGTGCTCTTCATTTATTATCCCGTGTCTGCCTTTTTGTCTTGGAACAAAGAAGGGAAGTACATCAAGAA